TGCCTTTTGAAATAAATAGTAATTTTTTTAATAAGAAAAAAAGACCTTTGCAAATGAGAGTATTTCTTCAATCTTGTCAATTAACATTTCTGCAGCACTGACTAATGTACAAAATGTCTTCCCATTTGCAATCTAGTCAGTTTCCAGAGTGACCCAGTTAGGCAAGTAAGAGGAATATCACCACTTTATCCCACTGAGCCAGATGAAAACAGTGTTTAGAGAGTTCAATGATGGTTTCAAACTAGCAATCCCATCATTTTTTTTTTTTGAACACACCAATTCAGGGCAATTTCTTTCTTAAAGATCATTCATATTTGACTACTTTAAGCAGTTGTACCTAAAATATTTTCAGGTTAGTTGGCAAAAAATACACTAGAACAACAAACATACACAACAGCAGCCATATTATGAATAGGCCCTGAGAAAAATGTATAGTGCGATTTCTAAAACGATAAAAAGAGGAGAGAGACATCAGAACTATTTGCTAAAGTATTTTGATTGCAGGTATAATTTTCCATAATACAGAATTAAAATCTAGACATTCTTTACTTTTAATTTCTTCTGAAACATTATCAGATATAAACAGCTAATCATTTAGATAAAGACTGAATTAGGAAAATTTCCTTTTTTAGGTAAAATTACTAATAGCCAATTTATCTATTGGCAGAAATAAGATTTTTGTTGCTGTTTTTGAAGATCTGCTTTATATTATCTTTGCAGTTGAAGGAAGAGATAGTTACAAAGGCAATGCTTTAAACTACATATACACTTCCATGATAAAAACAATTAAAATTATGTTGCATCTTAAATCTCTGCCATTAGGTAAAGAAGCCATGGATTTTTTTAGGTGAAACTTGAAGTACATATACAGAAGCTAAGCTTACTGTTACATAAGATGACAAAGTAAGAAAGAGAATTGTTAAAAATGATCAGTGTTATATTCAGAGATTATTTCTACAGAATCTTTTAAGTTTATTGCTGTTTCAACTTAGCTAATAAACATGAGGTCATATGAATATAGTTAAATGCTTTAAAAACATTTTAATGTCATTAGCAAAACCACCTAGAACATTTTAATTAAATCTTCATTTGCATTTTTTAATTAAAAAAACTACTGTAATTTTTTAGCTAATTAACACAGATTTTCTTATCCTTTCAGTTTAGTACAAATTTATACATTGGAAGACTTACAATAAAACTGTCTCACCCATTTTTGATCCTGTGAAAAAAACTCAACAAAGAAAAATAACTCTCTTCTTGATGAACTCTTCGAAGAAGAAAGAAGTAGATTTTATGTAAATAAGGGGAAAATGAAATATAGAATCCTTTAATTGTGTTTAAAAAAAACATGATTAGTTCAGTTATTTGTGGGTATCTTTTCAGCTATGCTGTCATCATCATCAAAATTCTGTGTTCTACACAGTCATATTACATTAATACCCACATGTACATTTTTTCCCAAAGAAATATTCTTTTAAATGCATTATTAACCTAAAATTTTGGTTCTACTCTCAAAGTTTTTTTCTTAAGATTCAAAGCTCTTTAGCGAGAAAAAGATGGATAAAGTGACCTTGAGACTCTGTAACTCTGGGCAGAAAAGAAGATATCCTTTCACCTAGATAAGAAAATAAATTGGACATTTAAATTTTCTCAATATACTGCCTGTTAACTATTTTAACAGTTAACTATTTTCCATCACAATTTCTTTTATCTTAGTCTTTCCAACCTCTCCAGTAAAAATAAAGGCCCATTGACTAAATCTGACGCTCTTTGTCATGTGCCCTTAGACACTAAATAAATATTGGTCGATTGAAAATAATCAAATGAGAGCCAGCCCTGATGGCCAAGGGGTTAAAGTTGGGCACACTCCGCTTCAGTGGCCCGGCTTTGGTTCTCAGTTGCGGAACCACACCACTCATCTGTCAGTAGCCCTGCTGTGGCAGTGGCTCACATAGAAGAACTAGAAGGACTTTCAACTACAATATACAACTATGTACTGGGATTTGGGGAGGGGAAAAAAAAGAGGAAGATAGGCAACAGATGTTAGCTCAGGGCAAATCTTTCCATGCCAAAAAAAAAAAAAAAACAGAAGAAAAGAATTGGATGAATGCTATCTCAAGGATATGGAGAGAAGCCAGCCTGGTGGCACAGCGGTTAAGCATGCACATTCCGCTTTGGCGGCCCGGGGTTTCACCAGTTCGGATCCCAAGTGCTGACATGGCACCGCATGGCAAGCCATGCTGTGGTAGGCCTCCCACATATAAAGTAGAGGAAGATGGGCATGATGTTAGCTCTGGGCCAGTCTTCCTCAGAAAAAAGAGGAGGATTGGCAGATGTTAGCTCAGGGCTAATCTTCCTCAGGGAGTAAAAAAAAAAGGATGCAGAGAGATTTTAAATTATGCGATATACCTTCACAAAAGATAGAACTTTTAAAAATCAATGTACGTTGAAAAAATAAAAGAGGACATTTTTACATTAAAATAGGGACTAAGTAATTTTTAGTTTTCTCTTTACAAAAGATTTTAAAATTATTATACTTTTAATATTTAAGCATTAAATCCCAAGTACTTAAAATTTTTAAACATATGTCTCCAAATGCACATACAGCCCAACTAGATTCACAGGGAACAATTTTTAATAGATCATTGTTAATCATTACATAGCTTCCAAATCTAGCTTTCATATAGCTCCTTTCCCATATTTTTATATTTCCAAAAGCTAGTTAGTGGGTTTCATCATAAATATGGGCAAGGGGGGACCAAATGCAAGTATCAAATTTTCACTGAGGCTGTTAGAGTAGTTTGGGTGTCTTTAGGTAGAATGTGAACTTGAACACTCTCAGTCAAGTCCTCTCAATCTTGAAATAGCAGTAACAAGAACCAATGGAAGGCTAAAACGTGCCTTCATTATAGGTTGACGTCTAAATGGTCTATTAACAAAAATCTAGAAAACTAGCAGTCAAGGCAGTTGCTTAGAGAAGATAAGGAAATAATCAAGTTTAAATAAGAAAAAATTATTAATAACAATTTTAATAATAATTTAAGTGAGAAGTTTCCTATCCTCAAAATACATTTCATAATTATCACCAAGCCAAGTTAATCTGAATCAGCAGATCACATGGTCTTTCTCAGAACCTTCCCTGAAGTTTTCAATAACTCCCAGAAACACAGGCAGCCGACATCACCTAACCTGGGGACTGCAGAGTATCAAGTCCTTAGACCTGTGCTTTCTAATACGGGAGCCATTACACACAGGTGACTACTGAACACTTAAAATGAGGTTAGTGAAACTGAGAAACTGAATTTTAAATTTAATTTTAATTACTTCATTAAATTGAAATTTTAAAACTATTCCTCAATTCAGTTACTAGAATTTTTAATTATGTTTCGAAAAACTTGGGTATGCACTTTAAAAAAAACTGAAAGTTTTATTAAATACAAATAGAGATCAAGTATTTTCAATGAAAAAATACATACCAGATTTGGAAGATGTAGTACAAAAGAATGAAAATATCTCATTAACAAATTTGATATCGATTACATATTAAAATAATATTTTGATATATTGGGTTAAATAAAATTTATCATTATTAACATTCATTTTTTTCTCCTTTTACTTTGTGTGTGTGTGTATGTGTGTGTGTGTGTGTGTGTGTGTGTGTGTGTGTAAGAGGAAGACTGGCCCTGAGCTAACATCTGTGCCCATCTTCCTCCATTTTATACGTGGGACGCCTGCCACAGCACAGCGTGATAAGTGACATGGAGGTCTGCCCTGGGATCCGAACCCACGAACCCTGGGCTACTGAAGCAGACGGCATGAAGTTAACCAGTAGGCCACTGGGGCGGTCTATTCTTTTACTTTTTTAATATTGCTACTAAAATGTTTGAATTACATAAGTGGCTTGCATTATATTTCTACTGGACAGTGCTGCCTTAGACAACACATGTAAAATGAAAACTTTTAAAAAATCAGGTTTCTTAAGGTAAATGTACAGGCAGTAAAATTCACTCTTTTACGTGTACAGTTCTAAAAATTTTAACAAATGTGTGCAGTTATGTAACCACCACCACAATCAGGACATAGAACATTGCCATCACCCCAAAAAGTTCACTCATGCTCCTCGGTAATCAACTCAAACCTGCCAGCGTCAAACCCTGACAACTCTGTTTTCTGTCTCCATAGTTTTGCTGTTTCCAGAAAGTCGTATGAGGTGAATAGTACAGCATGTAGACTTTTGAGTCCAGTAAAATTAAATTTTAAATACCATAACACTCTATGGCACTAAAGGATTATCATTCTGATATTTCCTTTCCTTCTATTACCAACAATTTGCCAAGGCCTATTTTGCAGTTATCCCACTTTTAAAACAGAGCTTTCCTCCTTATCACTATTATATTAACTTATGTACACTTTTAGAATAAAACTGAGCAGATTGTATTATAGTTATTTACATACAGGTCTTCCTTCCTTCTAGAACCACTACGCTTTCCATAAAGATAACAAGGCTGGGAAGACACTTCCCACAGTGCTATAAAAAGGAAAAGGAAAAGAATTGAGTGATGAAGTTTATCCCCTAGATTAGATGTCTACTTTTACTGAGGTCTCAGCAAAGGATCTTAGGCGATCCGGGATCCAAGAACTACAACGCCAGCTCACCACCCACGCCAATATTCTCACCCAGACTGTTAGCAAGCTCTGACAAACCAATAGCAAGTAAAGCTGAAGTAGGCTGCCTGACACTATTTTTCTCATAAACTGTTATTTCTGGTACATGATTTTACAGAACATAAAGTTTTTCAGGAACACATGTATCACATTAGAGCAGAAATGCCTGTACCACACGAAAGTCAAGATTTAATAAGTTCTACAGCTCTATCTGAAAATTTGCATATTTGTAATCATTAATCCTCACATAGTTAAATACATGAAATAAACAAGTCTATGTTTTAAACAGATAAATAAAATATTACCACTGACTTTAATGCTTTCAAAATACTTACTGAAGTCTCCAGTAAGAAAAACTCCTTCTGCTCCCGGGGCCCACTCTTTGCAGTATAAGCCCCCGTCAGCACATCTGTGGACGCCAAATGATTCATAACCTCTGGAAAACTTGTCAATACCACCTTCATTCTTTCCAATGTTGTCCAAAGTCTGGCTAAACCGGTTATACCTTTGAAAAAGCGCAAAAGAAAGAACTTAGAAAATTAAATTGTCTCCCAGAAAAGCTACTGTAATTAAGTAGCTACTTTACTCTTATTCAGAGAAAGAAAAAAAAAAAGACATCATTAAAGAGGAAAAATGTGAATAATTTCATTTATTGGGAGAGCTTACCTGATAGGATAAAATCATCTCTTATCTCAAATAAACTGAACTAATGCAACTAATGTTTTTTGTAATTTCAAGCATTTTGGTATAAAAGACGAAATACGATGATTATGTTATCCATGATTTGAGATTTACTTATTTATATTTTTTTTTGGTGAGGAAGACTGGCCCTGAGCTAACATCTATCACCAATCTTCCTCTTTTTGCTTGAGGAAGATTGTCACTGAGCTAATATTTGTGCCAATCTTCCTCTATTTTGTATGTGGGACACCTCCACGGCATCGCTTGATAAGCAGTGTGTAGGTCCGCACCTGGAATCCAAACCTGTCAGCCACAGGCCACCGAAGTGGAGTGCCCGAACTTAAACACTATGCTACCAGGCAGGCCCACCCATGAATTTTTTTTAAGTCATCATATTGTCAAGTAACTTCTAGGTCAAGACAGTATAATGAAACAGAATCCTACAGAATCCCTACATCTCTCTCCTTTAACTCCTAAGAAAAGGAAAGAAAAATAATCAAAAACCAGCAAGAAAAATAAAATTACCCTACAGCAGAGGGTTTAGCAAGCTTTTCCATTAAGAGATAGAAAACAAATTTTAGGCTTTGCCAGCCATATGGTCTCTGTCACAACTACTCAACTGGTCTCTCAAGCATGAAAGTTGCCACAGATAATATGTAAATGAGTGAGAGTGGCTGTGTTCCACTAACACTTTATTTACAAAGACAAGTGGCTGGCAAATGTGGCTGTGGAGCAGCCCTGCTCCACAGCAACTAAGCATGAAAAGAACATAACATCATGTCAAACTACAAAAGCTAGCAGCCTTGAGAAGAAATTGAAGACTCCTTCCCAGGCAGGAGCAAGAAGAACACATGGCTGCTCCTGCCCCTCTGCCAGATCCCTGGAGTCCACATGCAGCACTGGTACACCAGAAGAATGCTACTATCGTCACTAATACCCCCAAATCTGGGGAGAAGCAAACTAGGACAAAACTGGTGAAAGTGGAGAAGTGAAGCACGTGGCAGGTGCTCTCCACCAGACATGGAGGTTCCAGATTTATGCAATGAACTGAGCAATTTCCCCATACCCTGAGGACAAGCAATAAAAGTCCCAGAAAGATGGCATGGATCCAAGCAGGGGCTGGATATGACATTTGAGAAACTGACTACTGAAGAACACTCCAACTGAGCTGAACAGAAAACGAATCTTTCCACAAAGGTTTCACACTATACTTCAACTTAACCATGAATTCAACAAAATAAGAGCTGAGAGGTTATATGACAAAACAGCACAACAAAAAGTAAAATGAGATTGCAGACCTAAGAAAACAAAAGGAGAAACAAAATATATTATTGAAAAATAATAAATAAATTAGAATTGACAAGGAACAGAATATACATATAAAAAATAAATTATTAGTTAAATGAATAAATAATTGTAAATTGATAAATAGAGAAGAAAAAGACAAATTGAATACAGGATATACTGAAAGAAGCTAAAAGATAAGCAGTATTGACAAAAATGATCCAAATAAGGATAGCTGGTCACTCTGAAGAACAAAACTAAATATAAAAGGTGTAAAACTGGAATTTTTTTCTTAAAGAATTAAATCTTTATATTAAAAAGAACGCAATGTTTCAAGAAAAATTTGGAAAACAAAGAAACACACAAACATGTACACACAACATCTCCCAGTTTAAGCTACTGAAACTCAAAGGATAAAGAAATAATTCTATAGACAGCAAGTATCAAAGCAAGGAGAGGGGCATTTTTTTTCCTAAAGAACATTATATTGAAGACCAAAAGATAACAAAGACAAGCCCACACAATTCTGAGAAGAAAAGTAGTAATCTAAGGATATTATATTAGACAAGCTCCCTCTCAAACCCAAGGAATTCTTTAAATATTATCAAATTTAAAAATAATTTTAAGTCTAAGACACTAATGAACCATTCTTGGAGGAAAACAAGACTAGTTTCCATAAAAATTGGGTAATTAAAAGACTAAACACACACACAGAGGAATGGACAGTCATTGCAGCAGTGTGGCTGGGCCCTGAGTCTTTAAATATAGAACTGTGGCCACACAATTGTGCAACTATGTGAATGTGATAACGAAAAAAGAATCTCAATGGACAGAATAAAAATTTTATTTATAAAAAAAACAAGAGATGAGTGAAAGGGAGATGGAATAAAACCCATGTGTACAACGATAATCATTATGTCATTATTTATAACACCAAACCATGGGCAATGACCTACCTGTTCAACAATGGGAGGCTGGCTGAATAAACTGTGGAACATCCAAACAACAAATTACACAAGATCCATTAGGAAGGATCAGGGAGAGGGAAATGTGCTGATACAGGAAGATGTAAAACAGAGGGCTCAGGAAAGACGCTGCAGAGCAGTTTTCCACAAAGCATCCATTTATATAAGGAAAAACAGGCATAGCTACGGATGGCACGTACACCCACCTTCACAAGGCCTCTTCCTCTGCACTGGGGGTTGGATTCCAATGGCCTGGGCGGGGCAGGGGCCTCAATCCTCCCTAGCACCACACTCACTGCGTTTGCTTCAAAGACAGGAAGAGAGAAGCTGCAGCATCTGATCAGTGGGGTGCAGCGGCATACGGGAGTGGCAGGTGTGGGTGGAGTATTTCACATACGACCCCCTTTTGTCCTATATATATATACATAACACACACAAAGACACACACCGACATGTGAGCGCACATGCCATGGTTTTATAAAAATGCAGATTACATTTAATCTATTATTTGAAACAAATTTACTTTTCATGAAATGACATAACCCTGGTCTCACTGACAGTCCTTACTCCAGGGGACACAAACTAAACTGCTCACAGGAGCCAGACAGGTATCATAAAGATGAGGAGCTGGCCCCACACAAGTGCAAAGCTAATGATAAAAGAATGACCAAGGAAGGGGCCGGCCTGCGGCGGAGTGGTTAAAGTTTGCTCTGCTTTGGCAGCCTAGGTTCGCTCATCAGCCATGCTGTGGAGGCGTCCCACGTACAAAGTAGAGGAAGGCCGGCACAGATGTTATCTCAGGGCTAACCTTCCTCAAGCAAAAAAAAGAGAGAGAGAGGAAGATTGGCAAGAGATGTTAGCTCAGGATGAATCTTCCTCACAAAAAACAAACAAGCAAGCAAACCAAAAAAAAGAATGACCAAGGAGGTAGGCCTCAGAGTATGGAAAACAATGCAGAAAGGAACGGCGGTGAGATGGAGAACACAAACCCCACCGACAAGTGGCAGCACCTATGTAATAGCTACAGTCCGTAGTTACCAAGCTTGCTCTGCCAGTCAGATAATGATTCAAGAACTGAAAAAATTCCAGATTTTTCTATGAACTCTCCCTAATTCAAACATCGGCGACTGTTTCAAAATACTTCAAATACTGATCTAGACCAAAACGAATAAATAAATCAGATATACAGATCTAATGAGGTCCTAGTATGCAAACTCTCTCCTACACTCTAAGTCCTGTGAGAAAATGAGTTTTTCTCTTACGCATATCATTCAGCTATAACTCTCGGTGTATTAAAACTCTAATTCATATTAAACATCACAGGTAATAACATTCAATAAAATATCCAAACAGTAAGCAACAATCAACAAAATAAATTTGGACTGAGGGTAAAAAAATATATATATACATACATATGTATTATAATACAAGGAAAATTACTGATATTTTTTAAAAAGACATAAACGGGAGGTTAAATAAATGTGCTAGTAGTTTCAATGTGGTTATAATATCTTTCAAACACATTTTCAAATTTATAAGTTTAAAAAATAATCATTCTTAAGAAGTTTCATAAGATATGTACAAATGTCCCATTTACTAAAAATTCAATGGAAACAGGATTATAGCATGATATTACTTTAACTAAATATCTTGACTTCCCTCAAGGTCAGCCCTGTAGCTTCTGATACAGAAATACACATTCCACTTTGAAATCACTGTGGCTCAAAAAAGAAAACGCCTGAGGATACAGCAAGCTCATCATGCCTTGTGCCCTCTCCGACTACAGTCGTCTCTCTTAATATTTTGCTATGAATTTATAGGATATTTAAAAACTGGGTCAAATTCTTGGTAACCAAGAACATTAAATGGAGTTAGTATTGCCAACTAGCATTTTGTATAGATATAAAATGTTATAAATATTATCAGATTTAATCTTTACTTGATGTTTATAATCCTCTTTTTACAAAGGAATAAATAGAGGCACAGATAAATATCTAAGTTGTTCAAGGTCAAGAAGGTAACAAGCAATAGACATGTAGCATCATTCCTCACAAAAGGTGATTAAATTAAGTAAATCAAGAAACAAAATCTCAAATTAAAAGGTATATTTTGCTTTTAAAGAAAGCCCTTTAAGTTTTACTTACAAGGCTACCGATCTTTTAATTTAGAGAATCAGGTTAGTCTCTAGAAATAAACAGGGTACGTTCAAATCCTAACTCTGTTACATCCTATATGTGACCTTGAACATGTCTCTTAACCTCCCTTTTCCTTAAGTTCTTCCCCTGTTAATTGGGGAAAAACTCATAGTTTATAAGAAATCAGTGAAATCACTCTGGGATGCAGCCCCACACTGGCCAGCAAGTGCTCAGAAATTGTCGGCTGCAACTTCTCACCACCTCAGTGATAGGCAATGCTGTAACAGACTTTTTCATTCATTAATCAATATTTTAATTTTTTTAATTTTAATGCTTGTTTAGATTTCCATGTACATGTTAATTATTAGCAAACATTAAGGACTGCTCACCCTCAAAGTCCATAAGCGTTTGAGAATCCTTACTGTTTTTTCCTGCTATGA